TTGTACAGCAATTAACCACTAGGAAGAATGTATGCAATGTGTTAATTATTGAAACTGTCCTACCAATTTGATTTGAAACTGTCTTATTGCTATTTGTTTCTTAATAAAATTATATAAAAAAAAAAAGTTCACTGCATGCTTCCCTGGCAAGTGCAAGGGCCTGAGTTCAATCCCCGGTTCCACCATAAAAAAAAAAAAAAAGCTCACTGCTTCCTGTCCACAGAGATCTCTATATCGCAGGATGACATGCAAATAGGGCCCTCTCTCCCTGTGTCACCCTTCTCGCCCTGACCCTGCTGCTCTGCAGAGGAGCCCAGCCCTGGATGCCCAGCTGTTCCCACTCAGTGATCAGCACTGAGCACAGACGCTCGCCACGGACCTTGCACTGAACTCACTTTTGCTTGTTGTTGTTTTAAAGGTGATTAATGAACAGCAAGAGATGCTCAGTGTATGGATAGGAGGGAATAGATGGTGGACATATGGGAACATCTCCTGAGCAGGATGTCTCTGTGTCAGGCTGATGTGCAATGGGAGGAGTCTGGGGGAGGCCTGGTGCAGCCCAGGAGTCCCTCAGACTCCCTTGTGGTCTTGGGATTCACCTTAGTGATTACAACACGGACTGGTTCCATCAGCCTCCAGTGAAGGGGCTGGAGTGTGGCTTGGTCTTATTAGAAACAAGTCTAATAGTCACATCATAGAATACACTACATTTGTGAAACACAGATTCACCGTCTCCAGGGAGGATTCCAAGAGCACTGTGTCTGCAAATGCCGCAACTGAAAACAGAGGACTATCCCCATATTACTATGGAAGAGATACAGAAAGAGGACAGCATTGGGAGCCCAGACACAAAACCCCCTTTTGTATTGCTCAGGATCATCAGGGGGCACACAGGACCCACTGAGTTCAGTATCAGTGAAGGGCAGGAGCAGAGGGTGGGCCAGCCTGGTTTGCTCTCAAAAGCTGAATCTCCCCTCCGTGTGACATGAGACTCTGCAGCCATGAGTTAATGCTTATCTTTCATGTTCCTGAATCATGAATTTGACTTACCAGTAAGATACATTCTCACCTGCCCACATATTCAAATGTCATTTTCAAAGGCAGAATGACTCATCTCTGGTCACCAGGACTGGAAAGTGAGGACACACAGCCAACATGTTGAACTTTCTTCCAATAAAAGAGACATTTTAGTAATATTCCCCTTTTGCAACCAGCTTTGGTATTTAGGATAGAGGCATGAGAGAGATTACCCAATAACAGTAAATGACAGTGTTTTTTAAACTTAAATGTTATACACTCTCCTATATATAATTACAAAAGTCAAACTCAAAGCTTATCCAATTTCTTTTTAACTAATTTATTTTTCCTTAGTTTTTCTTCTCCCATCTGTGTTTTTTTTTTTTTTATCTGCTGCCTAGACTAAAGACAAGGTCCCTGGTTTTCATCCTATGGCTCAGGTACTTTTTCATGGAGCTCAGAAAAGGCTCAGATGTGACTTCCACATACTCAAGGTGACAAAGGAAGGATTTTCTCACTCATTCTTGTACAGGGCATTCACCCTTTCTCTGACATTTAAATGTATATTAATTTACATGTATTTATTATTTCCAAATTTATGGAAAATAAACAATATTAGTGAAATGAAAGTAAAATTTCTTTCTTAATGTGAGGTGTGATGTCAGAGCTGAGTGTACGCATCTGACTGTCACAGATTCCCCTCCTTCCCTTTCTCCTGGGAGTCCCCAAAGTGCCACCATTTCCTGATCTCTCAGGACAGCAGTTAGGAGACTTGTGGTATCCATGGCGCACAGAGCAGGACATCAGAAAGAGAAACTAGGACAGGAGCTGAAGTTGCACCCACCGTAGCGCTTCATCTTTTAAAATTGTGGTCTCAATATATCTAGGCGTCCTATTGGACTTACGGGAAGCACTGTTATGAACCCTAGGTTTTCAGCTGGACTCCTGCAGCTGGATCCAGGTCCTGCTGGATTCTTTGGTCCTTAGTATGTGGACAGATTTCCTACACTCTTTTTTTTTAACATTCATTGTGTGTGTGTGTGTGTGTGTGTGTGTGTGTGTGTGTGTGGCCAGCTCAGCCCACCAGGGGGCGCAGTTGGCTGGCTTGTGGTGCTGGAGGATTGAACCACGGTCCCTGTGCTTTGCCAAGCTTGTTCCAAGTAGGTGCTTTAGACCACTGAGCCATCTCTCCAGCCCCTCCTACACTCTTTGTATATGATTCTTTGGGTTATTCATTCTAAAATAATCTTACGAAATGTGTCCTGTATTGTATCATTCCCCTTGCATAAATCACAATCCATGGCGCTGCTTCGCATTTATTTTGACCTGAAAATGATTATAACAATATTTCACAAATTATATATTTGTTTCTAAATGTATCTTATTTATCCATAATTAAAATTATGTGTAATCTATATAATTATGGGAAAATTAAGACAGACAAAGATAATAAGCCAAGATATGTCACACTCTTGAACATATGCTTGGAAGAATCCTACATGTCTATTATCATGGAAGAGACAGAGTGAGGCGACATCAGTGTGAGACCAGACTCAAAGCTTCGTGTTGGAGCAATCAGGACAGCAGGCAGCACTTGGTCACACAGAGAGAATAGGGCCTACCTCAAGAGAAGATTTAGAGGAAGGTGAGTGGTGGTTCCCTATCAGAATACAGAACTTCTCTGGATCATCCTGATGTACAGATTCTCCAGTTTCGTGTGTCCGTCCTTACATCAGAAGCCCATAAATTAGAGAGGACTGTTTGTATAAAATATACTTTTTTTCCCTTTTTTTAAAATTTATCTTTATTTTTCTCTTAATTTTATTGAGAAACAAATAGCAATGAAACAGTTTCAAAATCCATTAATAGGACAGTTTCAATACTTTGATTCAGGAAAACAGATTCTTCTCAGAAGCATGAGGACCTGAATCACCCAGGGTTTGTCTCAGCTATCATAAAGGAAAGGGACCTCCCACATGCAAATTTATTTTCCAAATCTAGATTAAAAATTCTCTCGTGGGCTGCTTGTACTCACAGCTCCTTCCCTGACACGGCTAAGATCTCTGGAGGAGGCAAAGTTGTGGTCTAGAATATGAAACTGGTGGGTCTTCTCCTATGCCTGGTGACAGGGCCCTATGGTGAGTGGCTTTAAAGTCAGATATGGGTCCATGGGATGTGGATGAAGGCTGACTGCTGATGGGAAGTTCTTCCTTGTTTCCAGGTGTCCTGTCCCAGGTGCAGCTGCAGGAGTCTGGACCTGGCCTGGTGAAGCCCTCACAGCCCCTGTCCCTCACCTGCACCGTCTCTGGATACTCCATCACAAGTGGTTATACCTGGCACTGGATCCGTCAGCCCCCAGGAAAGAGCCTGGAGTGGATGGGGTACATAACCTACAGTGGTAGCACTAGCTACAACCCATCCCTCAAGAGCCGCATCTCCATCTCCAGAGACACAGACAAGAACCAGTTCTCTCTGCAGCTGAACTCGGTCACCACGGACGACACAGCCACATATTACTGTGCAAGAGACACAGTGATTTCATGCCAGTGTGAACCTGGACACAAACCTCCCTGCAGTGGCCCTTGGGACCAGCAGGGGGCGCACAGTACACACTAGTACTTCCCAGACAAAGGAGAGAAACACGTTGCAAGGTTTTTTTGTCTCCAGTTGAGTAACATCTCCATCAGCAGCCCCCAGAACAGACATTCTAAGGATCGTTCATATTTCTATTCACACAGTATTATGTTTCTATGGACTCAATCATTTTTCCTCCAAGTCTGTATCATAATGAGTTGTACAGTAAATATTTTTTTAATGAAACTATTGACTACAACTCAACTGAATGCATGGTCTCCTTAGGTTTTAGGTGAAGAAGCATTTTAACATAAAAATTATTACCTTGCTGACTGCAGGTCCACCCTCCACCTCCAGTTGTGTTTCCTGGCATCTCATTTTGAAGAGTTCCTCCCAGTTTTGGTTCACTCAAACCTTTTTACTCTGAATAAATGGAGAACGTTCTACATGCAGATGCAGATGCAGATGTCCACGTGTTATTGGAGCTGTTTAATTCTCTCTTTTTTTTTTTCAGAACCAGGGATTGAACTCAGGCCCTTGCGCTTGCCAGGGAAGCGCTTATTCTACTGAGCCATCTCCCCGGACCCTGGAGCTGTTTAATTCTCCACCCCTGAGGATGTCAGGCAGTGCCAAGACATTGATAATTTGTGTGGACTCCTCTGTGGCCTGGTTTCTCCAGGCATGCAGTTGGTACAGACCTCCAGTGCTGCCACACACCTTACAATCACACAGCACTCACAAACATACATGTATTTGTGGCCTCAATTGTAGCTAATGTTGAATCCCTGCCACTGATATAGTCTTATGCTTAGTGCCTATTCATATAGAAAAGTCAGTTTAATATTTTTCTATTACTCTCAATAAAATTTGGACACCACAACAAATCTCATTTTCCATAAGTATCTCAAGTGCTGATGGTCACAGGCCTCGACATCTTATGACCTGTCAGTTGATTTGGAGTCAGAGAGTGGCCTGAGTGTGGGTCAGTGGATGAACAGGGCATGGCTGACTCGCAACCAGAGAGACAGCCAAGGTCTGCGTGCACAGGAAGCAGGAGGTCCGCTACATCTGTTTTCCTGACGACAAGGCTGAGCCAGACCCTGACTGTGACTCTTACCTGGTAGAAAATAATTCAGAGTCTTGAGATTGAGGTGGTGGTAAGGTGCTGTGCGAGGGATTCCCTGAGCCAAGTCACTCTGGCAGCTTCTCTAGATGCCCATGCACATAAGCAGTCAGTCACTTCTTTTGTAGTTGCAAAATTATGAACAGAAACCAATATAGTATATTAAATCTGGCCAATTATCTCTCTTTCTCTCTCTCTATCTCATTATCTATCTATGCTTTGTCATTGTTCTATTTATTTACCTACTATTTATCTATGCATAAAGTACCTGTTTCTTTTAAAAATACATATTATTGGCCAGCGAGATAACTCAGCAGTCTAAACAGCCTGCTTTGGCAAGCTTAGGCAAACTCAGGGACTGTGGTTCCATCCCCAACACCACACACTGTGCCCCAGCCCCACCCCCAGGGAGACACACACACACACACACACACACACTACACACACACACATATATAATTATTATTGGGCAATATTTTGACATTAATGATGAAAATTCTCTCCATCAAAAGTGGAAATCTTTTTATGTTCTGGACTTCACATTATAACATGGAGACCAGAAAACTGAAGACCTAGAACAATTACTATGCAGCTCAACACCAGGCTCCAGCCCAGCCCGGCCTCCGTAGCTCACACGAGCGTGTCTCTCTGTACCACGGTGGGAAATTGAAATTCAGGAAACCTGAGCCTGAACGAAATGCACGACCTTCTTGCACACACGCTGATGGCTGCAAATGTGAAGCAGAGGAAGAGCAATTGGCACACTAGCAGGAAAATAACTAGCTGCCCTTGCAATGGAGTAGTTGCATTATACCTCAGATAATATTATAGCTCTTCATGAACAATTGCAACTACATTAAAGGGGTTTTTTGAATGTATTTTTAAATGTATTTCAGTGTCCCCCCTCCTCCAGCACTGGGATTACAGGCATGCATCACTATGCCTGGCCTCGGTGCCTGGCTAATGATGTGGTGCTGGGGATTGAACGCTGGTCCCTGTGCTTCCCTAAGCAGGTGTTTAGTCTGCTGAGCTATCTCGCAAGGCCTATATTACAGTTTTGCAGCATACAATGCACTAAAGTATCAATAGGAAAACACTAGATGAAGTCACATTCACTAGGGACAATGTTCTGGATTATGATAGGTATTACATAAGATCCATAGTGATAATCCAAACAGAAGCCAGTGGAGAAGTAAAATAGTTTTTCAATGGATGCAGTATAAATTAGTTCTGGTATTGTAGAGTGAGTATTTGGTAATGGAGAAAAATTGACCTGGATTTGCAGGTAGATAAATAAATAATAGCTACCTAGATAAATAAATGAGAGACAGATAGAGATTAAATAAAGACATTATTCTTACCAAATTTACATATATTGGATACAAACAAATTATAGCAGTGTTTGTATTTGATAGTTCTCGCAAAGCTGCTTCACCTGAGCTGAATGAAGAAAGTCTCACAGGCGACCTACAGCCTTCTTCATTGCAGTGAGACCCTGATGTGCGTAGGTGGGCCACCCTGAAGCACTGGTAACACTGGAGTTAGGAAAATAGGAACATAATGGTAATACAGCAAGAGGCTCCGAGTCTCACAATAGATGCCCACATCTGTCCTGGAGACCATGAGGAGGACCTGGCTCCACCGGTCTTGGGAACACCAGCTCTGAACTCTTGATCACACTAAGTCGCTCCCTTGTGCTTCCATGAGGAATTCTGCATTTATGCAATGGAGCAAACAAAGACACTGATCTCATGAATTACTTTATTTATTTATTTATTTATTTATTTATTGGTATTTAGTACAGGGAGTACAGAGGGTCACTGCGCAGATGAGACTTGTAGTGATCCTCCTGTTTACAGCCTCCCAATAGCTGCCTCTACAAGGGGACACCACCATGCCGAGTCTCAATTGCCCTCTTAGTGCGCCCTGCAGGCGGGGTATGCGCAGCAGGCCCAGGGATAGAACTTCCACCCCTGCACTTGCCCAAACAGGTGCTTTAATCCACTGAGCTATTAGGCCGGCACTTCATGAATTGTTTGAATGCATAAAAATAAATTAAGATTATGAATTATAAGTGAATAAAAAATACATAAAATACTTATTTATAATATCGCTTTCCATACATGTGACTGACAAAATGGGTTAACTGAATTTTGTGCTTTAACTGTGGGAAATTATTAGAAAAAACCTTGGGCTTCCTGTTATGTCCTTTAAGACTGAGTTCTCATTCCTTCCTCGAGGCTGCTTAGCAGTAACTGTTTCTTGTCAAGGCAGTGAGCTAAAACAAACTCCTTCCCTAACCATCTCCTGTAAACATAGTCAGCTTAAAATGCATTTATAAAAATATGTGCTTAACAATAAACTGTAAAAAACCTTTAATGACGCAGTTTGCAGCTCTGTCAAATAAAGGTAGTCTTCTGCTATTCTGTGCTAGATAACAAATTTGCTTACCAAACTGGACGTGATTTCTGTTATAAACACCCCCCTGCTACCTACATTCTATTGCCGATTAGTCTTCTCCTGCGTGAGAAATGGCTGATGGCCTGCACTCAGCAATAAAGGCTCCACTCAAATCTTAATTAGATCTTTGATCTGGTTCCTTGCTGACTGACCCATAACACCTACACACTCACATCTAATCTGGCTTGA